TATTTAAATATTCGGTATTTTAAATTTTTAATATATTATTTTCTTAGATACTTTCCTTTGAAACCACGGTTGCAAAGAATGTATATGTCATCAAAATGGCTCAGCACATGAGGTGGCACGCGACTGAGGAAAATCTAGATGGTAGGTTAAGGCACCCACGAGACTCGGAGGCGTGGAAAGCATTTGATGCGAAATTTCCAGACTTTGCCAATGATCCTAGAAATGTACGTCTTGCATTGGCAACCGATGGTTTCAATCCCTTCGGAAACATGAGCACAAGTTACAGTATCTGGCCGGTGGTGTTAATTCCATACAATCTACCACCTTGGATGTGCATGAAGCAGAGCTCCTTTTTGCTTTCCATGATCATTCCTGGCAAGAAAGCACCAGGAAATGATATTGACGTATACCTGCAACCGTTGATACACGAATTGATCGACCTATGGACGAATGGTGTTGAGGCATATGACTCACATGACAAGCAACTATTCAATCTCCGTGCAGCCTTGATGTGGACAATAAGTGATTTTTCCGGTTTGGGAACTTTGTCTGGCTGGAATGTGCATACTGGGTTGGCCTGTCCTGAGTGAAATTTTGATTCTGTGCCATGTCGCCTTCCACACAGTCGCAAGTGGTGCTTCATAGGACATCGACGGTTCCTTGATTCCAAGCACAGACTTAGATTGCAACGGATTCGCTTTGATGGGAAACAGGAGAAGAGAGATCCTCCTGTTACTTTGTCTGGTATGGATATTTTGCGGCAGTTAGAAGATGTTAATGTCGAGTTTGGTAAGAGTGTGGATCCCGAACGATTGGGACGACGATCTCGTGGGACATCTGATACGCAACCTATGCAATGGCGGAAGAAAGCATATTTTTCACTCTTCCTTATTGGGAATCTAATTTGCTACGACACAGTTTGGATGTTATGCACATTGAAAAAATGTGTGCGATAATGTGCTATATACGTTGCTCAATGAAGCTGGAAAGTCCAAAGACCATCTCGCAACTAGAAAAGATTTACGGGCCTGGGGAATTCGTGAAGAGGCTTGGCCTGATAAAAACGACAAGTTTCAGCCAGCTAAATTCACCTTGACAAAGCAGAACAAGGATATCTTCCTCTCGACGTTGAAGAACATAAAAGTACCAGATGGATATTCTAGCAACATCTCAAGGTGTATCGATCTGCAGGCTCGAAAGGTTACTGGGTTGAAAAGTCATGACTCTCATGTTCTTATGCAACAGTTACTTCCATTGGCCTTGAAAAACACACTTCCTTCTGATGTATCAGTGGTTTTGGTAGAATTATGTTCATTTTTCAAGAAGTTGTGTGCGAAGGTCTTGATAGCGGAAGAGCTTGATCAGCTGCAAAATAAAATTATTCTTACACTTTGTCACTTGGAGATGATATTTCCTCCATCATTCTTTACTGTTATGGTTCACTTGACTGTCCACCTTGTTCGAGAAGCAAAGGTTGCTGGCCCAGTTCACTATCGATGGATGTACCCTATAGAGGGGTACTAGATTATCTTTTATTCCCGCCTCTTTAAATTTCACATTGTTCTTTCATTTACTCGTAATTATTAATGCAATTTTAACTTACAGGTACTTGGGAAAATTAAAATCATATGTTAGGAATAAGGCATGGCCTGAGGGGTCAATAGCAGAAGGTTATTCCGGAGATGAGGTCCTAACTTTCTGTTCGAGGTACTTTGATGACATGGAGACATCTTTTAACCACCCGCGTCGCGTAGATGATTCTCCTCCTGGTCCTTCCACGTCAACTTTATTTCCTCCTGGTGGGAAACCAGTTGGAGGATATGAATTCTTCAGACTCACTCCTACAGAGAAACTCCCGGCACACAGACACGTTTTGATAAATTGCAGCCAAGTTGAACCCTTCATGTAGTAAGTATATATATCATATAAGCTCACTAGCTTTTACACTTTATATTTGTTTCTTACTGACTCTTCTAACAAATTACACTTTACTATAGTGAGTTTAGGAGTTATCTCAGGCGTCAGCTACGGGGCCGTGCGCGTTCTGCTGACATTGATAAAAGAGTCCACAAAGAGTTTCCCAGTTGGTTTACACGTCGAATACGAAATGACAACAGCCCATACACAGATGAATTCAAAGCTCTTTCTCTCAGTCCGTTAGACCATGCACGAAGGTTTACCGTGTACAATGTCAACGTCTTCAAGTTCTGTATGGTTGGACGTGATCAGGGATTGCTCACACAAAACTCTGGAGTTTACGGGACATTCGAAACGAGATGTTATGCTAGCAGTAGTGATGGCGATATGCGCTTTGGAAGCGTCACTTACTATGGAAAGCTAATTGACATTATTGAGTTGAGTTACCAGCTTTTCACCGTGACACTGTTCAAGTGCTCCTGGGCAAATACGACAACTTCACGGGGACTCGCTACTGACCATTTGGGCATTACCTCAGTTAATTTCTCTAGACTTATTCATACGGGGGCATCTGAAGATGATGAGCCATATATCCTTGCTTTTGAGGCACACCAAATTTACTATGTCGAGGACGAGAAACATAAAGACTGGAATATGGTCGTTCACCTCAAGCCACGAGATCTTTATGATATGGGTGATGGTGACATTATTTACGACAGTGAACCCTTCCAACCCTCGAATTTTGAAGACTTCTTTCCTCAAGGAGATGATAATTTGCCAATTATCAAGTACACGTCTTTTCTTAAATTATTTAAATAATTAACTACTAATTACTAATTTTTTCCAAATACATTATAAATTTAACAAATTTTTTTAAAATGTGTCCTTCAGGCCGGATGATGATGGAGAATAGCAGCATCCAAAATAAATTATTAAAAAATTTTTCCGTCCATAAATACATATGTATAAATTAAAATTCGTATGGTTTTTTTAAAAATAAAAAAAATTAAATTTGTAGCGGTTACATAACCGTTACAAATTTATTATACAAAATTATAATTTGTAATGGTTATTAACCGCTACAAATACATATCTATAAATTAAAATTCGTTCAGATTTTAAAAAAATAAAAAAAATTAAATTTGTAGCGGTTACATAACCGCTACAATTTTATTATACAAAATTATAATTTGTAGCGGTTAATAACCGTTACAAATACATATCTATAAATTAAAATTCGTTCAGATTTTTAAAAAATAAAAAAAATTAAATTTGTAGCGGTTACATAACCGCCACAATTTTATTATACAAAATTATAATTTGTAGCGGTTATTAACCGCTACAAATATAACCGCTACAAAATACTAGCGGTTAGGTATACGCTAGAAAATGAATAATAGCCACAAAATGTAATAAAACGCTACAAAATGCAATAAAACGCTACAAAAACACCGCTACAAATGTGTCGCTGATCTCTATAAATATCATATGTTCTCTACATTCATTTACTCCATCTCTTTTCTTTCCTCTCCTATTCTTCTTCATAATTCTCTCTTTTTTTCTTACTATCTCATATGGTGGTTTCTTTCTCTTTACTGTATGGTAAGTGAATTTTATTTTATAATTCATTGTATCTTTTATTTGTTTTTATTTAAAATTTACTAACATATTTATTTCTCCTTTTCTTTCAGATTTTTCTTCTTCACACTGGTCATGCCCTCCTCAATTGATTCAAATACTCCTCAACCTAACACTATAATTTCAATATTACAAACTATCTCATCTTCAATTCAACTATCTTATTAAATATTCAATTCAATTATCTTATTAAATTAAATTCACTTCTTTTGACACACTCATAATTTAATTACATATTGTTTATTACAAAATTTAAATATATAAAATGTAACATATAACTAAGTATACAAATTAACAAAAATTCTTCAACATAATTTATTTAATGGTTTTTAAAATTATGATATGAAAAACCATAAATTTTTTTTCTGGCATGGTAAACATTTCTAGCGGTTCCAAACCACTAGAAATATTTCGTCAAATTTAAATTTTGCGCCAAAATTTCTAACGGTTCAAACCGCTAGAAAATTTTTTTGCCGCCGTTCCAAAAATTTAATTGGCGGGAAAATTTAATTTCCCAAACATTTCTAGCGGTTCTCTAACCGCTAGAAATTTCGGCGCGCTAATGAAATTATTTAATTTCCGGCAAAATAGATTTGGTTTAGCATGTTTCTAGCGGTTATAAAACCGCTATAAATTTTATTCCGTTAAACATTTTCTAGCGGTTTTATAACCGCTAGAAATGTTTTTCCTTTAAACATTTTCTAGCAGTTAAAAACCGCTAGAAAGTTTCTAGCGTTTTGACCATGATGTGTAGCGGTTGCCATAACCGCTAGAAATTTTTTCTTGCGCTTGGTTTTCTAGCGGTTTTGTTAACCGCTACAAATGTTATTTGTTGCGGTTAAAACCGCTAGAAATGTGTCACTCTAACCGCTACAATTGATATATTTTTTTGTAGTGAAGAGTAGCTTTTGGCAAGCCCAAAACCCATTCCAGGCTATGGTAAACTTAGGTGACCAACAGGAAACACGCCACATGGACAAGCAGGAGGATAGCATGATTGTTCAAGAGACTGGGTTTCTTGACATTAATAATTCCAATAACCCGGACATAAACATGCAGCTACAACACCAGGAAAATTTTAATATTCTGACAGACATTCACGTTGATGCTCCAGAAGCCACTCTTACCAATTCCTAGGGGTCTATAAGCACGAATACCCCTACTCAAGGTCCTCCATGAATTATTTGTTTTGGAATTGTAGAGGTATTGGGTCCAAGGCTTTTCCAGGACTCATTCGGAAAATAAAGAAAAGATATAAAGTTGATTTTTTTGCTTTGTTTGAAACAAAATCAAGTGGAGAAAAGGCTCAAACTATCAGGCAAAAGCTGGGCTTCCAGTATTGCAAAGTTGTAGATTCAGTGGGCTTTAAAGGCGGAATTTGGATTTATTGGATGAACCATAACTTTGCTTTGAATATTATTGAAACTAATGCTCAGTTTATCCACATGGTTTTTGAGCTGAATGATGAAAAACTTTCTATCACATCAGTGTACATGAGTCCTGCCTCAAACGAGCGTCGCTCGCTATGGAATAATCTACAGCGGCTTGACCCAGGTAACAATTACTCTTGGTTTATCGGTGGTGATTTTAACAGCACTCTATTGTATAATGAACGCAGGTCAAATGCCTTACGCACCACCCCCATTGATCGCGAGTTTAACAATTGGGTGGAAGAATTGGAGCTAGTTGACTTGGGTTGCTCTGGGCCATTTTTCACGTGGAAGAGAGAGGGGTGCGAAAGTAGAATTGACCGCGTCCTTTCCGACACAAAAGCCAAGTCCTACTACCTAGACGCTGTGGTGAAGAACCTACCATGGTTCAAATCTGACCATCGACCAATACTCTTCCAGCTTAGACCAGGTATGTCTTCTCGCCCCAGTTCTAATCACCCGTTTCGCTTTAACGCTCCCTGGGTGCTCCATGATGATTTTAGCAGATTAGTGAAAGCGTAATGGGACCATGAGACTAAATGGAACACTAATATCGACAACTTCACTACCGTCATCATTGATTGGAGCAAGAATACTTTCAGACATTTGGGCCAAAAGATAAGTCGATTGATGGGAAGATTAGAAGGTATCTCTCGACATATTGCCACCTTTGGTGAAACTTCTTCCCTTGACCAACTGCAGCGCAAACTTTGGTTTGAGTTGGAGGAAGTGATTCTCCAAGAAGACCTTCTTTGGGCCCAGAAAGCCAAATGCGATTGGTATATTTTTGTGATACAAACTCTAAATATTTCCATGCGAGAGCCAATGGACAGAGACGAAGAAATAGAATTGAAGCTATTAAGCAGGACAATGGTGAATGGACCTATGACATGCCCTTAATTAAATCTCTAGCCATAAATTTCTTTATCAACTTGTTTAAAGAAGACGCTTGTGATGTGGGTGGTCAAACTTGCACAAGTTCTTATCCTGATCTAGAGGCACTACATTTGGAGAACTTGGGTAGGATGGTGAGCAACGAGGAAATTAAAAATGCTTTGTTTAGCATGGGAGCCCTCAAAGCTCCTGGTCCAGATGGGCTCAACGCACTATTCTACCAAAGCCAATAGGACCTAGTGGGTAACTCAGTAATCACGTTGGTAAGACAAGCTTTTCTAAATCCTTCTCTTATTGAGGCTATTAATCATACCTTAATTGTACTTATTCCTAAGATTAATAGACTCGAAACTACTAAAGATTTTAGACCAATTAGTTTGTGTACTGTGATTTACAAAATTATTACTAAAGTTGTGGTGAACAAGATGAAAACTTTCCTGCCTAGCATTATTTCTCCTAACCAATGCAGCTTCATTCCCGACTGTACAAGTTCAGACAATATTATTGTTGCTCAGGAGGTTATCCATTCTTTGCAAAGCATAACTGGAAAACGTGGGTATATGGCTATCAAAATCGACCTAGAGAAAGCCTACGATCGTATTAGATGGAGTTTTTCCATGAGATGTCTTGAGGAAATTGGGGTCCTGAGCTCCCTTAAACAAGTTATTGAAGCTTGTATATCAACTCCAACCATGCAGATTCTTTGGGAGGGTGAGAAAGCTAGAAAATTCAACCCATCTAGGGGATTGAGACAAGGAGACTCTCTATCCCCTTACCTTTTTGTTATCTGTATGGAGAAGCTGGCGCACATAATTTAGGAAGAGATTAACAATGGGAGTTGGAAACCCATTAAGCTTGGTAAGAATGGTCCCCCCATATCCCATTTATTCTTTGCTAATGACCTTTTGATTTTTGCAGAAGCAAGCATAGAGCAAGTGGAAGTAATCAAGACTTGCCTAAGTCAATTTTGTGATATCTCCGGCCAGAAAGTGAACCAAGCCAAAACAAAAGTTTTCTTCTCTCACAACATGAACCATAACCGTGCCTCACAACTAAGTGAAGAGCTTAGGTTTATGCGAACAATGGATCTCGGAAAATACTTGGGGGTTCCCCTCCACCATGAGAGAGTTTCTAATGAAACTTATCAATTTATTATCGACAAGATTAAAAACCGCTTGAGTAATTGGAAGATCAATAGTTTGTCTCTAGCAGGTCGAGGTACTCTTGTCAAATTGGTGATAAATGTGATGCCCTCTTATGCCATGCAAACTGCATACATCCCGAAGCCTACATGCCAGGTGATTGAAAAGAAGGCTTGGGACTTCTTCTGGGGCTCCTCTAAGGAGGAAAAAAGGATGCATCTTATTGCATAGGAAGGTCTCTGTAAAGATAAACAGTTAGGTGGACTAGGAATGAGACATATCAAGCAACATAATAATAGAGCGTTTATGATGAAGCTTGGATGGGGGCTTGTTACTAAGAGAGATGATCTGTGGGTCAAGGTCATTCGAAGCAAATATGAATGTGGGAATGACCTTATTCCTCACATAAAAGCGAAGAAGCCGGGGTCAAACACGTGGCGTGGAATCCAAAACAACTGGCCTCAAGTCGAAAATGGTATCCAGGAACTCAAGGATAATCAAGGAAACACTCAGGTTCGTTGGAAATGGAACAAAAGTGGCACGTTTTCTACGAAGTCTGCATACAAATCCCTTGATCCCCCTAGCGAGGCATATGATCGAAAGTGAAACATCATCTGGAAACTAAAAGTGCCTCACAGATGCAAGATGTTCACTTGGCTTATGTACCACGAACGGCTACTTACTAATAAAAGAAAACATAAGCGGGGTTTGTACCAAGATGTACTTTGTCATAGATGCCGTCAGGAGGTTAAAGATGAGAAACATGTGTTTCGAGACTGCCCGGATGTCAAGAAACTTTGGGAACGTATAATTAAAGTTACTTTTCATAACCACTTTTTTGCTGGTGACTTTTAGGTTTGGTTCCAACTGAATATGAATAAGAACGTGGGAGCTACTGAAGAAGAATGGAGGAGTGTCTTTGCAACCATTTGCTGGCTACTTTGGAGAGAGAAGAACGAGCTCACGCACCAGGACAAAGTAACGAACCTCTCAACAATGGAAGCAAGAGCGCGTGTGATCCACCAATGCATGCGTACGTCCCTCTAGAAACTTAAAGGCATCAAGATGAACACACTTCAGAACCAGATCACAAAAGCTGAGGAACCCAATACATGCAACAAGCTTGTGGTAGAGGTAGATGGCACGTTCTCCTATGAGTAGCAGAAAGCAACATGCGGAGGCGTCCTCAGGAAGCTCAATGGCGAAATTATTGAAGGATTCAAATTCAGACTTGAGGAGGGACACCACCTAACAGCAAAGCTTTGGGGGTGCTTAATGGGCATCAAGCGAACCTGGGAGACGGGAGAAAGAGATGTTATTCTTTGTTGTGATTCTTCTGAAGCAATCCAAACTATTACTAAAGAGAACCACATCTTACATGAGGACGGTAATCTCATCAAGGATATCCAAAACATGCTTGCGTGGCAGTGGCAAGTGGAAATGCTAGTTATCAGTAGAGACTCCAACCACATGGTGGACATGCTTGCAAAGATCGCACTCAATGATCCAATTAGTCTTCCAATTTTGAGCAGTGAGTCTGTCAGGATGAGAACTAGCTATTCTAACGTAACTTAGTATGTTTCTGTTTCCAGCATATCAAAAAAAAAAAAAAAAAAGAGAATGAGTGAGAAAAATATGCTAGTAGATTTTATATATCTAATAATCTCCTTAGTATGTAAAAAGTTACTACAAGTAATTATTAAAAAGGTTCAGAATGGTAGTTGGTATATGATACTGAATTTTAGTGGATTAGAATTAAGAGTGGAGATAGGGCTTTAATGTTTAGTATAAAGTAATACTCTCTCCCCTGTGATTTTAGAGTTAATATAATTTTTAATCTATCAAGTTTGTTTTCATTTTAGTTTTAGTCTATCAAATTTCAAATTATATATTTTACTCCCTCAAGTTTCTTTTTATTTAAAACATTACTCCTTATAACTCAATAAAAACCTAGATCATTTTATCCCTTCAGGGACCAAAACCTATGGTTTAAAACTTGAGAGACTAAAACTAAAATAAGGATAAATTTGAGAGATCAAATATTATATTAACCCATCATTTAACTAAACCACGCTGTTTAATAAATATGTAAAAATTGAACTTGGTTTTTTCATGTCTTTATTTAACAAGAGTATAAATAAGAGAGAAAAATACTCATAATGAAATAAATGATGAAAGAGAACATAGTATGTATAAAAAATGATAAAAGAGAATAAAAATTAATTAGGAGCAAAATTAGCAAAAATGCATTTGATGTTTAGATACCACTAAGTAGGATGTTATAAAAAAGACCTGAGTAATTTAAATTTTGGGATCTTATAAAAAAAAAATTGGAGAAAGCTTTTCTAAGTAGTATTTATATTAATTTTATCTTAAATTGGAGTGTAAATTGGGTTGAAAACCTTCAATCTTATGATCAAACTGGGCAGATCTGACTCTGATAACATTTGGTGTGTTAGGTTGTATTGAATTGGATTCACGAGTGCTTGTATTGTTTTGGCTTTGTTAATTTCTCCAAAAGAAACGAGAGAGAGAGAGAGAGAGAAGAGAGAGAGAGAGAGAGAGAGAGAGAGAGAGAGAGAGAGAGAGAGAGAGAGAGAGAGAGAGAGAGAGAGAGAGAGAGAGAGAGAGAGAGAGAGAGCACTAAGCATATCATAACCATGGTAGCAGAATATTTTTTTAGGTTTATTTATAAATCATTTTTAATATGTTTTACCCAAATCAAGAACAACGTTAAACATTATTAGCTTTGCCTTAAATTCAAAAACTTTCTAACTTCATTTCTATTTATATGCACTTTATACTATGAGAACAAAATCTATTCAATACTCCCTCCATTCCTTATTATAAGAGACAAATAACCGAAGTACGTTGATCAAAAAAATAGTTAAAATTAGTTAAGAACAATTAATGTGTAAACAAATATAAATTTTTTTTCCAAAAATGTCCTCATTAATAAGGAGAGAGAGCATGAGAGAGAACAATTAAATTATTAAAAGAAAGAGAAGTGGGAGGGAGAGAGAGTGTGAGTTGGAGATAATAAATATGGGTAAAATAGGAAATCAACACAAAAAAGTAGAGACAACTTTTAAGTGTCTCTTATATATAGGAACATGCCATAAGCATCAAATGTCTCTTATAATAAGGAACGGAGGGAGTAATAAATAGAGAATAAACTAGTACACTCATATAAAAAATTTGATAATGTGAATTATTAATAAGACTGTTATAAATATTAGAATATGTGGATGTCCATAAATTCTCTCAACTCTTAACCTTTTATATTTTACACTCTATAACCTTTCCATTGAATAGTTTTTAGGAGTTTTTATTCTATAACTTCAAGGTTACATGTACCACACTTATGTGAATTAATATTGTTATTTATTTTGTCACCCTTGGTTGAGTTTTGGAGTCTATAAATAGAAGGCTATGTAATGCACATTTTGATCATCCAAATGAATAAGAATACACTCCTCTTTCTCT